TGAACATGACCGCCTGCTATGCCTAGGGCGAAAGAGACAACTGTCCTATCCTTACACAGTTGGTACTCTGTGACGGGGAGACAGAAAGCAGACAGGATGAGCAAGTGAACTGCATAGCACACTAAGAGGGGAAAAGATGCCGGGCATTGGTGGCACATGCCTTTAATCCCAGCACTTGGGAGGCAGAGGCAGGCGGATCTCTGTGAGTTCGAGGCCAGCCTGGTCTACAAGAGCTAGTTCCAGGACAGCCTCCAAAGCAATACAGAGAAACCCTGTCTCGAAACCCCCCCCCCAAAAAAAGGAGGGGAAAAGATAAATTCACTGTGCATGTGTGTGTGTGTGTGTGTGCATGTGTGTGTGTGTGCGTGTGTGCGTGTGGGACGTATGAGCGGAGACACAAACATGAGTGGGCCACATGGAGATTTGTAGGAAGAACACCTCTGGCAGAAGGAACAGCCAGGGGCAAAGGTCCCGGGCAAGAAGATGGCTGAGTTGCTGGAGAGACAGCATCCTAGAGTGGGACAAGAGCAGGTGGATGGTTAAGTGGCTCTTCCCAGGCCGTTGGCTGAAGCGAGTTCTGTGGCCAAGACTGAGCACGTCTGCCAATCAAGGTGTTCTCTCCCCCAGCCACCAAAGCTGGGGTTTGGGGATGAGCATTGACCCAAGTGAAGAGAAGAGGTAGGTGTTCTGAGAGGAGCTGTCTCCTCGGCACACTCACACCGAGATTAAAGCCAGAAGAGACATAAAGGAGCTGGGACGGGAGAAAGGCAGCTCCCTCACTACACCGAGCTCCTGGATACAGCTGTACATGAAGCTTCCTCCCTCAGAATTCCCGCGTCGAGAGACAGCATAGTGGAATTCGTGACGGTTACAGGTGGGTGTCTGTCACCGCCTCTCTTCATCCCCAGAGGGCGTACCCGGATGCCTGCGGTGCGGCATTTGAGCACAGCATCAGGGACGGTGGCCCGGGGAGGGTCAATCATGGATACGAGTCCCGCGAAGCAGAGGCCACTACTCGGGAAGTTCATGGCCTCCACGTCGAAGGTATAGCCAGGTGGGTAGTCCTTCTCATTCAGGTAGAGCTGGCAGAAACCTGGCCAGAAAACAGGAATGAGAGGAGTCTAGGCAGACGGTGTGACATAACAGGTCCCTTGCACCACCTGTAGATTCTAGATCCTGGGTCCGTCCTTGTGAGGCGCACCCCCACCCTGCAGATGAGGAGACTGAGGTTCAGAGCCAGGCATGGCCTGTAATCTCAGCATTTGGGAGGTAGAGGCAGGAGGATAGGGAGTTCTTTTTTTTTTTTTTTTTTTTTGGTTTTTTCGAGACAGGGTTCCTCTGTGGTTTTGGAGGCTGTCCTGGAACTCACTCTGTAGACCAGGCTGGCCTCGAACTCACAGAGATCAGCCTGCCTCTGCCTCCCAAGTGCTGGGATTAAAGGCGTGAGCCACCAACGCCCAGCAAGGATAGGGAGTTCTAGGACAACCTGAGTTACATTAGATTGTGGAGGGAAGGAAGGAAGGAAGGAAGGAAGGAAGGAAGGAAGGAAGGAAGGAAGGAAGGAAGGAAGGAAGGCTGAGGGAGGAAACATTCCTTCCAAAGTTAAGTGAAAGGCAGAACTAGACCATGGGTCTGTGTCGTCCAGGGCCTCCAGGGGTTAGGAAAGTTTAAAGGGGATGACAAAAGTTGGAAGGGTCACAGATAAGGACAAAGGAGGGACATGGTAGCCCTCGCCTTTAATCCCGCGCTCGGGAGGCAGAAGCAGGAGGACCTCTGAGTTGGAGGCCAGCCTGGTCTACAGAGCAAGTTCTGGACAGCCAGGCTGCATAGCAGCACTGGTTCAGAACACAGGACAAGGGTCTGGGCGAGGTCGAGCATGGAAGACTGGGAAAGATCAAAAAGTCAAGAGGGCACGGGACTATAGATAGAACCAGGGCTGGAAAGGGGGGGTGCAGGCAGGGCTGGAAAGGGGGTGGCCGGGTGAAGACGTCAGAACCGACACAGGGAAGGGAAATCAAGGGCGAGCCTGGGGTCACCAGCCCCTGCCTGAACCAGAAGTGAGAGAGGTGAAGGCCAGCAGCCACAGGTCACACAGGAAAACCACAACAAAAAAACCCACGAAAGGTCAGGTCCGGGCCGGGCAGTTTGGAAGGGTCTGTGCCCGCCCCTCTCCACACACTGCCCCGCTCAGGGCGCGCCTCTCACCAAGGACGCGCTCGCCCAGGCCTCCCAGGCTGAGGTAGGCGGTCTGGAAGGCCTCACGCCATTGCTCGTCTAGAGGTAGCTCCTGGCCTTTGATGAGGATGGAGCTGCAACGCTCCAGGACGCGCTCGGGGGCGCCCTTCATCACCAGCAAGTGCCGGGGGTCCCGCGGATCCTCAAGGGTATGGATGGACAGCTGCGGGTGGAGGCAGAGGCGGAGCTGCCAGGCTGCACCGGGCTTGGGGGGGTGACACAGGTTACCGAGGGTGTGGCCGTGTGATAAAGGGCGTGGTCACATGAGGAGGCGGGGCCTGAGAGTGCGCTGGGTCCTGCCCAAAGCAGAGGTGCCCCTTCGCCTAGGGGCTGTGGGTGGGGCTTGATTGGGCGGGGAATCGCGTGTGGGCGGGGTCTATCCGAACATAGGCGGGGGCCTAAACTGGATTAACATGGAATTGATCGTCCCGAAGAGGTAAACTAAGGTGGGCCCTCGCTGTGGCGCGGCGCACCTGGAACTTGTTGGTGGAGTTGAAGGGGATCTCGCAAACTTTGGGGAAGCGGTCCCGGTAGCCCATGGCGTTGCCCAGCGTCAGCTCCGAGAACTTGAGCAGCGCAGTCTCAGACGCGTCTCCGATCACGATGCGCTTGGGAGGGAGCCGGGTGCAGTGTGAGGGTCCGAGCAGGCGTCACCGGGCTCCAGACGTCACCCCCCCCGGAATCCCCGGGTCTCTCTCACCTTGGGCACGGGCACCGCGTCCTGGCCGGACTTGAAGGCGGCGCGGTTGCACAGGGTGAGCACGCGGCACAGCGCCCGCCACGTCTCCGAGGACTGGTCGAACGTCTGCCCTGGGGACCAGACGGCGGGGGCTGGGACCTCAAGGGTGTGGGTCTTCCGAAGCCAGAGCAGAGCCCCTCCCACGCATGGGAAGCACCCCGCCTCCTCTTCGTGTCCCAGGACAGCTTTCTCCAAACACCACACACAGAGAGCCTCCGGGGGACCAGAGTCCCTTCTGGACCTGCCACCTCTCCTTAACGCAAAGCCTTCCCCAAGGCTCCCCGCCACACCACCGACCGCATCCGGTCCTGGCACCTTCCCCTCCCACCGCCACACCTGACTGGTCTTCCGTGGTGTCCGCCGTGTGGATGTGGTTGTCAAACCATAGATGGGACACCGTCATGCGATTCTGAGTGAGAGTTCCTGTCTTGTCGGAGCAGATGACCGACGTGGATCCCAGGGTTTCCACGGCTTCTAGGTTTTTGACCACGCAGTTTTTACTGGCCAGACGCTTTGCTGTCAGCGACAGGCAGACCTGCGGACAGATGGGGGACACAGGCATGGCCCTGCCAACCAGCACTAAGTCTCCTTCCTGTACTCCAGCTGCTAGCTACACTTTGAGTGCAGGATGCCTCAAGCCAAAACAAAAAAACAAACAAACAAACAAAAAACCGAAACAGGCTTATTTCTTCCCGCCAAGCCGTTTGCAGCCCCTGCCTTCCCTGGCGTCACCAGAGAACCTCTCTGACCGCTCTCCCAGCTCACATCAAACACAATGGAAATGAGAAAATAATCTTCTTAGCCTCCCTCCTTTAGGTGGGTCTTGGGCTGGGGCTGACTACCTTCAATGACCTCATCTTCCTTGTTCCAGGACCCTGCTTGTTCGTTTCTGAGCCCTGGTGTGTGTGCCGGGGGGCGTGGGGGGGAAGGGGGGGTGCTGGACCAGAGTAGCCTGGGAAATGTTTACTGGATGGGTGGGTGGTGCTGGGTGGGGAGGGGGATGGATGCGTGGGCAGGTAGGAGGGTATGGTATGGGAAGTCCGGAGGGTATGGGAAGTCCGGTGGGACGATCGGGAACAGGCAGCGCTCTGTTCCCTGCACCTCCTCCTGTTGCTCCTACTCACAGTGACGGTAGCCAGCAGCCCCTCAGGCACATAGGCCACCACAATGGCCATGAAGAAGACCATGGCCCGAAGGAAGGTGTAGCCTATACACATGGCCACCACAAAGAATGTGGCCCCGAAGAGGATGGCCAGCCCCGCAATGATGTCCACAAAATGTTCAATCTCTATTGCGATGGGCGTCTTCTCGTTCTCCACGCCCGAGGCCAGCGATGCGATGCGCCCGATGATGGTGCGGTCGCCCGTGCTCACCACCAGGCCCTGTGCTGTGCCTGCAGCGGCCAAGGAGAGGAGAGGAGAGCTCAGGGTGGGGCGGGGCGGGGCAGTATCAGGGAGGCAGGCAGGCGTGGGGCGCAGAGCATCACAGGGACCAAAGGGGGCTGCTGCGGGGGCGTGTGGGGGCTGTGGGGCTTTCAGGGCAGGGCAGCGACGCTTCCCACACACCCTCCAGGCACATGGTGGAGAAGAAGGCGATGTTGCGGGTCTCCAGGGGACTCTCGTGTGTACACTCGGGCGAGCGGGTCTGTGGTTCGGACTCTCCGGTGAGCGAGGAGTTGTCCACCTTGCAGCCCTGGGCCGACAGAATGCGGATGTCTGCCGGGACACGGTCCCCGCCTTTCATCTCCACCAGATCGCCCACCACAAGCTGATCTGCGTTGATCTGGAACTTGTCCCCGTCTCGGATCACGGTGGCTTGCTGTGGGGAAAGGGGTGGTGGTGGAGGTTGCTTACTGTCCCCGAGTCATGAGAGCTCAAACTGGGAAGAAGCGAAGCTCTAGAAGGGGGGGGCTGTAAATCAGGATGGATTGGGGCTGCTGGAGATGGCAGGAGACGGCCTGGGGTGGTTTGGAGACTCTGGGACCTGAAGGGAGAGGTAGCAGGCTGGAGGACCCACCTGGGGTACCAGATTCTTGAAGCTAGCGATGATATTTGTGCTCTTGAACTCCTGGTAGTAGCCAAAACAGCCAGTGACCACAACCACAGCAATGAGCGCTATCGCGAGGTACAGCTGCAGGGCGAGACACAGGCATGAAGGTTTTAAGCACAGGCGTCAGAAGGTCCCTCCTCGAGGCCAGTTTCCCTCTTCAGAGTCCCCTGGTATTCTTGGGAGTTTCCTCACTCTGTCAAGAAGCCTCATGTGCTAGCCCTGGAATCCCACCCCCTGTCCCCGTGGTCTATGGACACAAATTCATTTGCCTGGTATTTTCAGTGTCTTGTGTCCCTAATCCCATAGTCCCTGGTTCCTGATCCCCGTGCCCCGTGTTTCCTGTTTCCTGGTTTACCCGTCTCCCCTAAGTCCTGCAGCTGCTGTGTCTCCTCTTGTTACTGTGTCCCATGTTTCATATTGTTTTTCCTAATCCAAATGCCACTCTGTGTCCTTGTGCCCACTGGCCCCTGTGTCACCCTGTCCCCATTTCTGAGTCTGTGCTGCAGACCTAATGCCATGATTGGTGTCTCCATGTCCCAAACGCCAGGTCTGTGTGCCTCTGAGTACCGACCCCATGTCACTTGACCTATGGCTTTTCAAGCCCTTTCCAGTGTCACACACGTCACCCCACGTCCCCGTCCGACCCTGACATATCCAATGTCCTCTCTGCATCTTTATTTCCTCTCTCAGCGGTTTTCATATCTCCTGTCTGTGTCTCTGTGTGCTGTGTCTGGTGTTAAGTGTTCCTTATGTCTCAGGCCAAGTCCTTGTGTCCCCTGTCCCTTGTCCTTGGTCAGTCCTACATCATTTCCTCTTCTTATCGGGTCCATATAATAGATTTTGCAGTTCTGTTCCCTGCGACCTAAGAATTCTCTCCGTCCAAGGGTCATCCTCAGCGCCCCTTGTGACCCATGTCCTCAGGTCTGTCCCATCCTCCATCCACGTCTCAGAACTGCATCTTAATGTTTCTGCGTCCTCTTTCTGCACGCCAGCTGTTGTTAAGCCCTGGGCTCAGTGTCACAGCTCCCCGAGCCTCGCTGTGCCTGCCCTAGAGCACCCTCCACTCACGTTATCGTCTGTGGTCAGGTCACCCTCACTGGCCTGGATGGCAAAGGCAATGAGGCAGATGGCAGCAGCCACCCACATGAGGCACTGCAGACCCCCTGCCAGCTGCCGGGCAAACTTCACGTATTCAGGAGTGCCCCGAGGCGGCCGGAGCGCGTTGGGCCCGTCTCTCAACAATAGCTCAGCTGCCAGGCTTGCAGTCAGGCCCTGGGGACAGCAGGTGTGTTTACGGTGGAGGTCACAGGGTCTTGCCGTCGCCTTTTCTCTTCTTTTCCCTGTCCTCTCTTGGCCCCTCCTCTATTCTTCCTCCTCCCCTCCCCCTTTCCCCTCGCCCTCCATCTTTCTCTTATTTCTCTCCCCTCTACACTTCCCTTCTTTCTTGACCACTCTCTCTCTAACTGCTCTCTTCCCCTCCATTGTCCCTTCCTCTCTCCCTTCCTCTTTCTCTATAGGTCTCTCTTCACCTCTTCTCCATGTCTTTCTCCCTCCTCCCCTCTGTTCCTCCCCATTCTCCTTCATCTATTCCCAGCACAGAGAGAGAGAGAGAGAGAGAGAGAGAGAGAGAGAGAGAGAGAGAGAGAGGAGGGAGGGAGGGAGGGAGGGAGGGAGGGAGAGAGAGAGAGAGAAAGAGACAAAGAGACAGAGACAAAGAGACAGCGAGAGAGAGAGGGAGAGAGAGAGGGAGCGAGGGAGAGAAAGAGACAGAGAGAGACAGAGACAGAGAGACAGAGAGAGAAAGAGGGAGAGAGGGAGGGAGAGAGGGAGAGAGACAGAGACAGAGAGACAGAGAAAAAGAGAGAGAGAGAAAGAGACAGAGAGAGGGAGGGAGAGAGAAAGGGAGAGAGAGGGAGGGAGAGAGAAAGAGACAGAGAGAGGGAGAGACAGAGAGAGAGACAGAGAGAGAAAGAGGCAGAGAGAGAGAAAGGGAGAGAGGGGGGAGAAAGAGAGAGAGAGGGAGAGAGAGAGACAGAGGGGGGGAGAGAGAGCATCACTCACACCTTGCTCTCCCTCTGTCCATCTCCCCCTCCCTCTGCCCGCCCACTCTTAGCTCACCTTGGTGGCGCTGGTCCGGTACTTCTGCTCCAGCTCGGACACTGACAGCTGGTGGTCGTTCTGGGGGATGAACAGGGACCCTCAGCATCAGGCTCTCACGGCCCCACTCAGCCCGCCGCCTGGCTCCAAGTCCCCGCTTCAGTCCTGCCCAGGGTTCAGCGCCCATGCTCACCATCTCCATCTCCTTCTTCATGTTCTCCAGCTTCTCCTTCTTCTTGCCTCCCCCACCGCCTGCCTTCTTCTTGCTCATCTTGGCAGCCATGTCCCCACCGGGGCCCGACCCCAGTTCCACTGAGTACAGTTCATAATTCTCCTGGGGATGGGATGGAGCAAAGGAGACGTCAGGTGCCCCTGGGGCTTCTGCCCCCTTCCCCCCCCCCGCAGCCCCAAACATCTCCCAGGTGTCACTCACTGCCTTCCCCATGGTCCCTGGTGTTCTGCCCTCTTTGGTCTGTAGAGCCTAGGGGTCTAGACCAGGCTTGATATAGCCAGGGAGGGTGGGGGTGGGGCAGAACCAGCTGATTACAGCTGATTATGAGACTCCTTGGGGTAACCTTCAGGCTTGGGCAGCTCAGACGTTTTCTACTGGGCTGTCCCAACCTGCCCAAACCCTACTGCCACCAGTCACTCAGATCAGAAATCTCTGGGCTATAACAACCATATAACAACAAGAAGAGTAGCAAGAACGGGGTGCTCATTTCATACCAGCAACGTGAAAGGGATTTCACACATTCACTCATTTAACCGCTTGAGGTGAGTAATACCCACTCCACGAGGGGAAACTGAGGCATAGAGAGGTCAAAGTCACTTGCTCAACCCCAGTCTTAGGACATGGTTGAGTCAGGCCTGGCAGATGACCTGCACAGTGTCCTCTTGTGAGCCCTGAAGCATGCCCACAGTCACCTGTGACATCATATCTGTCATTCCCCCTGTGCAGAGGCAGGAAACTGAGGCTTGTGGGAGTCCCACTGCACACTAAACCGCTGGCTGCTGCCCACAGCTCCCGACTATTCCCCTGTCTCCACCCCAGTCTGCTCAGCGAAACCAAGGTGCACACTGGGGGAAAGGCTGTATCTAATGGCCCTTGTCTGAACTGGGTGTCAGGTGTCAGGAAGTCCGAGAGACCCCCTCCATGTACCCCAAGCCGGGATCCCTGGGGGAAGCAGTGAGGGGCTGGGCTGGGGAAATGGTAGAACCTTTGCCATGATTTTTTGCACTGGCCTCCCACAATGGGCATGTCTCCAAGGGCATGCGTAGGGGTAGCTGATAAGATAATCACCTTGGCAATGTCCTCCTCGGGAGCAGGTCACCCAGGGAAGTAAGAGGTGGGCAACCTGGACTCCCCAACACTCAGCTGGCAGAAGACCCTACTCCAGGAGCCCGCCAACAGAACTGCAGAGAAATCCCTAGGACACAGATGCCCCTCATCGGAGCCAAGCACGCCAGTGTTTGTGGTGTCTTTGACTCACAAGCTTTTCTCTCCTCCTAACATCTCCTGTGAGGTCTACTGGCCTCTGATGAGCCTCCCTGTCTCAGAGCCTGTGCTTGAATCCTCAGTATGCGCTATGCTTCGCACAGACTGAGGCCATTCATGCCTCGGGGCCTTAGCACTTGGATGACCACCTGCCTGGTCCCCTTTTTCTGAGGTCCATGTGGCTGTTTCTCGTCTCCTTCAAGTCTCGGTGCAAACGTCACCTTTTCTGAGAGTCTCCCTTTCTGGTCACTTCCACTAACCCCATGTCCAGTTCCGAGCTGGCGTTGTATTTTACTCATTTGGCCATCTGGCTCCGTGTGGAGGAAGGCTGGGACTCAGTGGTCCTTGTTGCTCCCGGCACACGATCCCTGAATGTGGACAGGGTTTGGCTCAGCGGTGGATAGGAGGAGCACCCCGTTCACAAGCCTGGAGCACTGAGCAGGCTCTCAGGAAGTCTCACTCTTTGGGAACGCCTCAGACACCACTCATCATCTTCAAACCCCCAACATGCTCAGGGCTTGTGGAAGCTAGGGAAGGTGGGGGGGTCATGTCTGCGAGCAAAATCCCAGATGGGGGCACCAACACCGGCAGTGGCAGCAGATGGTTGACTGGGACACTTTGCAGACCTCTGCCAGCACAGGGTGGCCGTCTTCGGTCTCTCCCTCACTGGTGTTCCCTTCTCTCTGGAGTCTTAGTGTCATATGCTATTGTCAATTTTAATATTATAAGCTGGTATTAATGCTGATTAATATTTAAACCAGATTCATACATTACAGAAACGGTAAAATGAACATTTTAGGACTTTGGTGGATTTGTGTTAGATTAAGTAGATCAAAGGATGGATAGGTAGGTGATGTATATAGATAGAGATAGGGAGAATGATAGGTAGATGAAATATAAAGGCTGAATTATTTAGGAGACTCACAGACAGGAAGTTTTGTTTTGCCTGGGTTTTGTCGGTCTCTTTTCTGTTGCCCATGACCTTGAACTCCTAATCCTCCTGCCTCCATCTCCCAAACACTGGGGTCGCAGCCATGCCTGGCTAGAAGCTATATCCAGGCAACTGCTGCCTATAAATACAGACATTTTTTGACCTAAGTGTAGTCAGGTGAACAACTTCAAAAAATTGAGAATTTGTTTGACTCTCTCTAGTTTCCCACTGAAATCCTTGCAGTCCGAGATCTGGTCCAGACTGCGCCTCTCGTGAGTTGGTAAGTCCCTTGTACCCCTGTCACCCTCTCCTTTCTTCTGTCTTCTCTTGCTTCCTTGACTCATGCGTTTTGGAAGCTTCTCTTACTTTGTGGATTTTCCCCTCCGTTTTCATCTGCTGGACTAGAGTCCTGCTGCTCCCTTTGGGTAGGAGCACAGAAGGGATGTGTCCTGTGCAAAGCATCACGTCAGAATGTACCTCATCTTTAAGTCTGAACAGCCTAGAAAAGAACATATATTTTTAAAAATATTTATTTACTTATATATAGTGTTCTGCCTATGTGTCTGCCTGCACACCAGAAAAGGGCACCAGATCTCATTATAGATGTTTGTGAGCCACCATATGGTTGCTGGGAATTGAACTCAGGACTTCTGCAAGAGCAGCTAGTGCTCTTAATCTCTGAGCCATCTCTCCAGCCCAAGAACATATATTTTGGGATGCCCACGACTTGGGCCTGAATCCGCATAGTCACCGCCAAACCTGAATACACATAACCACCACCTGAGTCACAGAGTCACTGCCCGAGCCCGAGTTCACATACCTATCACGTGAGTCTGAGTCCACAACAGTCATTGCCCACACAGTGACTGGGTCTACACAACTATCGTCTAAGCCTGAAATCTCTACAGCTCCTACATGCCTAAGTGAGTCCACACCGTCACTGCATGATCCTGTGGCTAGACAGCCACTGTTCAGACCCCCGGTTTCTTCCAATGCTCCCAAACTCCTACACCCGACCACCTAAAGACAACACCTGCTACAGCCAGCCTGAATTTACACCATCTTTATGGCTTTGTCCATCGCAAGCGTACGATGGCCAGACATGCTGATAATTGAACAGCTTCACCAGCTTCTGATTACATTATATCCCGGATGAGTGTCTTCTTAATCCAATTATTCTTTTATCATGTGTATTAGCAACACTAACACCATCTCCAAGTGATGAACACATAGGCCTCTTCCTCCAGGCTGGATCTGGACTGAGCAGAAGTATCTGGGTATGGCTGGTACCTTGGGTGGACTGTAGCCCATGGAGTGAGGATGGGGGGCTGTGCGATGCCACTTCAGGATGATGGGAAGCTCCTGGAATGATTCAAGGGCAAAGGCTTTGAGAGGAGCACGGGTTCTAGGATGCAGTCCCCTACCGAAGTTGGCAGTGTCCATCTCACTGAGCCTGAGACACCCGGCAGAGTTGCAAGCTTGTCTTTAAATGATGGTCGGAATTTAATGTGTCATCCTTCCCTAAGAAAGAAGGGTCAGAGGAAGACCGTTAAGTAGAAAGAGAACATGGCGAAGATTATAGGAGGAATTTGACCAAGGGTTTCCTATATATATATATTTCCAAGGCCTGATAAGGCTTAGTCCTGTTTTCCATTTCAGGACTAAGGAACTTCTGTTTCTCAAAATGTTCATTTCTGAGGTTGTCATGCAACAGTAAGAGCCCCTGCCTAGAATCCCCCAGTGAGGGGCTGGATTGTGTGGTTCAGTGCTTAGTATATGCAATGCCCTGGATTCCATCTTTGGTAACACACACACACACACACACACACACATCAGCAGAGTTCTGGGGAGATGGCTCAGTTGTTGAGAACACATATTGCTCTTACAGAGGACTCAAGCTAAGTTCCTAGCACCCATATCGGGCAGCTCACAACTCCAACATTCTCTTCTGGCCTCTGCGAGTACCTACACATGTGTAGGCTGTAGCCATGTTTATATTTGTGTGTACACATACACAAACAAATAAAACACAAATATTTTTTCTAATGAACAAAATAATTCTTCCAAGACCACTCTTGGTCCAGGGTGAATCAAGGACTTCCCCTGGCTTCCCTACCACAACCCCATGTTCATATTCGGTCTATTTCCCTCCCTCGCTCCCTCTCTTCTCCCTCCCTCCCTCTGCCTCTCCCCCTTTCCCTTCCCCCATCCCAGCTGTTAAGCTTGAATCTGAAATCCCCCCATGAGTTGAATATTTGTGTTAAATGTTTGGTCCCCGGCTGCTGGCACTATTAGAAGGGGTTCTAGAAACTTCGGGAGGCCTAGCTGGAAGAGGTACGTCATCTGCTGTGTGCCTCTGAAGGTTATAGCTGTCCCCAGGCCTCCTCTTCACGGGAGCTGTTGGCTCCTGTCATGAAGTCTCCTCCTCCACACACCCCCACCTCCGTGGCGTTCTACCCCCAGCCCATGGAGCCAAGTGGCTGAGGACCAGACCCTTTGATCCACGAGTCAAAAGAGATTTCAGTGGAGCTCGCCTTTAATCCCAGCACTCGGGAGGCAGAGTGAGTTCGAGACCAGCCTGATCTACAGGAGCGAGTTCCAGGAGAGCCTCCCAAGCCACAGAGAAACCCTGTCTCAAAGAGAGAGAGAGAGAGAGAGAGAGAGAGAGAGAGAGAGAGAGAGAGAGAGAGAGAGAGAGAGAGAGAGAGAGAGAGTTTTCAGTAGGCTGTTCCTATCACATATCTGCTCACCACAATACAAAAGTAACACTTCCAGCCTCTCCATCCAAACCCTTAAGTCTCCACCACAGCCCTGAGCTGTCACCGTTTGGTGATAACTTTCCCATTCTGCCCTCCCAGGAAGAAGGTTCCAGATGTCTCACTCAGTACACACTGAGTGTTCTCCCTTGCTTGCCCAGTCCAGGGCCAGCCTGGGCTGGCCCCAGAGAATGTTTGCTAACCGTGTGGACCTCTTTGTGACCTTGGCTTTGAGTTTGCATTTGAGACTTATGATAAGATAGCGCCCAGCAGTGCCCTTCACTCCCCCGTCACTTGCAGATGCTGGAGGTTGAGGCAGACGCTGGGCAGGCAAGGACCTTTTCAGGCACAGGTGGTGAGGAAAAAAACAGAGGTTCTTTGCTCCGCCCCCAAGCTCCGCCCCCTAAGCTTCCTCTCCCATCTCGACCACACGGAAAAGGTCCTGGGCAGAGTCCTCCATTTCCTCAGGGAATTGCGGGCTGCCCTTGCTTTAGGGTCTGAAGGTCATTATATGTTGTTGTAACTTTGTCTCCCTTCTCTATGTGTAGTTGTAACTTTGTCTCCCTTCTCTATCCAGCCTGGTCATTCCTCCATCACCCCGGTCTCTACATCCCAACAGCCTGCTTCGCACCCCACCCACCCTGACAGTCTACTCCTCCGGAGGGAGCTGGTGAGCACTAGAGCCAGAGCACCCCACGCTCAGAGCCCTGCCCCAGCTGAAAGCCAAGTCCTCACAGAGTGCACAGGACCAGTGACGTGGCCCTGCCGTGCCTGCCCCTGGGTCCCGTCTCCCTTACTCTTTAGACACTGCCCTCACACACAGAACGTTAGCTGTGGCGCAGGGTTGCCACCTAAGCAGGAAAGGGCCTTTGTTCCCTGTCTTTGTTTATTTAAAGGTCTTTGTATCCATAGATACAGATTGCTAGTGGAGGCAGGAGGATCCGAAGTTCAAGGCTAAACTGAGCTACTTTGTAGCTCCAACTCAAAAGTAAAATTGAGTTACGTCTGCATGTCTTCACATTTATTTATTTATGCATGCATGCATGTCTCTTTGTGCTTCAGGGATCAAACTAAGGCCATCAGCCTTGGCCACCAGCACCTTCCCCACTGGGCCAACGTGCCAGCCCACGTTTGTTTATTTATTTTCCAGGAGTAGCGTTGTAGATCAGGCTGGTCTCGAACTCACAGAGATCCACTTGCCTCTGCCTCCCAAGTGCTGGGATTAAAGGCGTGCACCACCAACGCCCGGCACAGCCTCAAACTTTTAAGACTACAGCTTAATGATCTTCTGATGTCAGAGACATCTGCAGGAGTCCAGGAATACCATGGCTTCCTCTGAGAAGGGGGCAGACTGGCCAGGGCCAGGGCTACCTCGTGAACGGAGAGAAGACTGCAGAGAGAAGAGCGAGGCAGAAGAAAATAACCTTTGGGTTATAAAGAACGGGGTGAGGAGGGAATCTAGAACAGCCTAGGAGCATCATAGCGAGTGGGGAGGGAGGGAGGGCCAGAGGGCCAGCGTGGGGGCTTCGATATTCGCTGCGGAATAGTCCTTCTGCACACTGTGTGAATATGTGCATCTATGATTGGTTTAATAAACAAGCCGACTGGCCAACAGCTGAACAGGACAAAGTTAGGTGGCAAAGCCAGACAGAGAACGATGGGAAGGAGAAGGGCGGAGCCTGGAGTCGCCAGCCAGATGCAGAGGGAGCAGGAGATGGATGTGCCATGCTAATAATAAAGGCGCTGCCAGGTGGCAGAGTGTAAACAAGGAATATGGGTTAATTTAAATGCGGGAGTTAGGCAGTAACGAGCCTGAGCTACTGGCCAGGCATCTATAAGTAATAGTAAGCCTCTGTGTGTTTATTTGAGAGCAACCGTGGGACAGGAGACTCCACCTACAGGTATTCATGGCGAGTGCATGTCACTAGGGGCTAGGAGCTCTGATAGGTAACCATAGGTGTAGGCCAAGGCAAGTGATGTCTTCCGGAAAGCGGAAACACATTTCATAGGTTTCTGAGGGATGTCACCAGCAATCCTCCTATAGTACTGCCCTTTGGGACTTAATCCACAAGACATGACAAACTTATTGAAATGTGAGTTTCTAGGTGATGGCACTCAGGTAAAGGGCACCGGCAGCTCTTCCAGAGGACCCAGGTTTGTAGGGTGAAGCCTTTTCCTTGCCAGCCGCTTTGGTTTTTTTCCCCACCAGTCGCCTGGGCTCTGCCACATTGCAGTCCCCAAATAACACACAAGACGCTGTATTAATTATGAAGCTGTTGGCTGTTTGCTTGGTTTCTTACTGGCTAGCTCTGACTTAAGTATTTACCTCAAATTGTTAATCTAAGTATTTCTCTTACTGGAGAAAGGGTCTGGAGGCTACATCTTGACTCTCTGTGTTTCTCCTACCCAGAGTCCTCCTCTACTCCTAGTCCCACCTATCTTGCTTCCCTATTGGCCAACAGTGCTTTATTCAACAACCAATAAGAGACAGATTTACAGAATGGCATCTCTCATCACAGGTTCGGTTCCCAGCACCAGACGGTGGCTCACAACCATCTGTAACTCCCCAGTTCCAGGAGGCCCAACACATTCTTCTGGTCTCCATGGGCACCAGGCACACGTGTGGTGCACATTCATATATGCAGGCAAAACACACACATAAAATAAGAATAATCTTTATGCAAACCTTATTTACTTATTTATTCATTCATTTATGGGCTGATGGTGTAGTTTAGTTGCCAGAGTATTTGCCTAGAATGTATGATGTCCTGGGTTCAGTTCCCAGGACCACGTAACACAGGTAATTACACACCTGTAATCCCAACCCTCAGGAAGCAAAGGCAGGAGGATAAAATGTTCAAGGTCATCCCCAGCCATGTAGAAAGGTAGGGGCCAGCCTGGGCTACATGAGACCCTGTCATAAATCTAAACCACACACACACACACACACACACACACACACACACACACACACACACACACACACACGCGCACTTACTTCTTAAAAGTTCTTTTTACAGCCGGGCGTTGGTGGCGCATGCCTTTAATCCCAGCACTCAGGAGGCAGAGGCAGGCGGATCTCTGTAAGTTCGAGACCAGCCTGGACTAACAAGCAAGTTCCAGGACAGCCTCCAAAGCCACAGAGAAACCCTGTCTCGAAAAACCAAAAAAAAAAACAAAAACAAAAAACAAAAGTTCTTTTACATCCAATGTAACTCAAACATCTTTTTTAAAGACTTACTTCAGTTTAAAATCTGTGTGTGTGTCTGAGTGGGAATCTGTATATATGGGTGAGCGTGTCCACGGAGCTCAGAGGAGAGTATCAGATTCCCGGGAGGTACAGACTAACGTGAGCCACCTGCCATGGGTGCTGAAGAGATCTCTGCAAATCCACCAGTGCCCTTAACCACTGAGGCACCCTGCCAGCCCAACGTTCCCACGTATTTCAACTCCCAGAATAAGCCGGGCCCCTTCCTGACTCATGGCTCTGCACTTGGCGGTCAGGTTGGAAGCTTTTACATTTTCTCTTCATTTCCCCCCTTTCTCCTACACAAGATCTCAAACTGGACTCACGCTCTCCGTAGCCAAGGATGCCCTTGAGGTTCTGCTTCTTCTGCCTTCATCTGCAAAGTCCTGGAGTTCTGAGGTGGCCACCACATCCAGTTTCCAGGGTGCCGCCGATGGAATCCAGAGTTCCCCCGCACACCAGACAGCGCTGTGCCGAGGGAACTAAGCTCCGGACATTTTTTTGTGGATCATCTGTCATGCTTCAGGTCACAGCTCGGCCGTTAGCGCCCCGTCAGAGTTAGTCTCCCAGTTTCGTCCTACTGTTCACAGCTACCACTGTCCAGCCATGGTAGCTCCTAACAGCAAAAAGCAGGTTGAATTGATTTTTAATTCAGTAACATCAAAGCTTGACCTCCTACATTGCACAAGGCCCAGCACATTTGGGTATTGGCTTCAACACTGGACAGAACAGACAGTACTCTTGTCACTGAGGTCATTAGACAGGGTGAGCTTGTGACTTTACACGTTATTCTTTATCAATATTGTTTTGTCTTGTTTGGGGAAGGGGTTGTTTTTTGAGACAAGGGTTTCTCTGCGTGTAGCCTTGGCTGTCCTGGAACTCAATCTGTGGACCAGGCTGGCCTCGAACTCACAGGGATCCACCTGCTTCTGCCCCCTGAGTGCTGGAATTAAAGGTGTGCATCACCACTGCCTGGCTTGTTTGTTGTTGGTTTTCAGGGTTTTTGTTTTGTTCTTTTTAGGATTTGTGTGTGTGTGTGTGTGTGTGTGTGTGTGTGTGTGTGTGTGTGTTATGTATTTGTCTGCATGTACACCTGCAGTCCAGAAGAGGGCGCCAGATCTCATTATAGATGGTTGTGAGCTACCATGTGGTTACTGGGAATTGAACTCAGGACTTCCGCAAGAGCAGTCAATGCTCTTAACTGTTGAGCCATCTCTCCAGCCCCCTTGTTTTGCTTTCAGGACAGGTTTTCATAGGTAGCACTGGCTGGCCTGAAATCTGCTATGTAGTCCGGGCTGGCCTAGACTCTGTTCTTGCTTCCTGAGTGCTGGGATTAAAGGCATGCACCACCATACAGTGGGAACTGATCTCAGAGCTTTCCTCAGCCTAAGAAAGTGCCTGACCACTGAACTAGATTCCCCAACCCAGTAAACAAAAGGGTTTTGTTGTTTTTATTTTACTATTGTTGTAGTTTTAAGTTTTTTTTTTTCAAGACAGGGTTTCTCTGTGGCTTTGGAGGCTGTCCTGGAACTCGCTTTTGTACACCAGGGAGGTCTTGAACTCACAGAGATCCGCCTCCCAAGTGCTGGGATTAAAGGTGTGCGCCACCATTGCCCAGCAAGTTTTTGCTAGTTTTTGAGTCTGAGGTGCTCCCTGCGTCCGAGCCTCCCTATGACTGCATTACATATACAAGTCTTTGTACTCACCTGTTTTCCGACAGAACCCGGGCTGGCCCGAAGCTCCCATTCTCCTGCCTCTGGCACCCAACATCTGGGGTCACAGACTTGCACCACGGTGGTAGTTGGAGTGAGAAATGCCCTTCCCGCCCTTATGTATTTAAACACTTGGTGCCCAGTGGATGGCGCTGTTTGGGGAGGTTTGAAACCCGTAGAAGGCGGGGCCTTGCTGGAGCAAGCTGGACCTCGAGGAGAGCTTCTCCTCCTCATCTCTTCCCCTTCCTCTTCCCTTCCTTCCCCTCCCCCGCCGCCCCCAGCACCCCCTCCGCGTCCACGCTTCTTGGGTAAAGACAACAATATGATCTTTGCCTCCTGCTCCCGGTGTGCCAAGCTTTCCCGCCGGGCCAGCCTCTTTCTCTGCGGAACCTTAAGGCTAAAGTTTCTTCTGGCCATGGGCGTTATCGCAGCAGCAAAGATGCGAAAGCAGACACCATGTCCGTCTTCCCTTTTCAGTCATCAGTAAGGAGACCTGCATCATCCACACGCCCGGCACCGTCCAATCTCAGAGGGGGGCCCCACGGCACCCGGAAACGTAGACCCGCGGTGCCCTGAGAACAGGTGCCCAGGCACCCCCACATGCAGCGGGTGAGTGGGAACGTAGGCACCTCCTCAAAATCTTTATTGCTCTTAGTGTCGCTACTCTGAGGCTTCCTCAGCACAGGCGGTGGCTGGTGTCCGAGGTCAGAGGCTGCGAGAACCGACAGAACTCCCTGGGTGAGGCGGGCTCTCAGGATGATGTCGCTTCCTCTGTCTCAAGGATTAACGTGACAGAGCTGGCCATCAGAATGCACCCCACGAGGATGCTGGCGACGCTGAAGGCCAAGGCCAGCCTGGAGTTCCGCTGTGCCCTCCTCCAGTCCCCATCGTTGTTGGCCTCCCGGGTCTGTGGAGGTGAAGGCCAAGCAGGCCAGACGGTTCCGGAGAGCAAAGGGGAGAAGGGAGGGGCATCCCCCCGGAAGTCCAATATCAGGACTGGTGAGATGAGCAAGAAAAGGGCGGGGCCGATTCCCCAGCGGAAGGAACCAAAAGTGGCATTAATGAAGCCAGATGGCGAAGGGGGATGGGGGAGGGGACCAGGAGCCGGAATGGTACCCACCTTAAGGGAGAACACCAGGGCTGGGATGGCCAGCAGGATACAGAAACAGAAGGAGGTGATGGAGAGACATAGATAATCCTTCGCTGGGGGAGGCAAGGCGATCATCATGACTGGCCCCGACACAAGCAATGGCTGGTAGGCCTGTCGCCCTGGTGTCGCCTGGGATTCCCGGTCCTTGACTTTGGTTCCAGGAGCCATGGATCCTGGCCTAAGGAGGAGGCTCCGGGTGAATAAAAGCCGTACACAGAGGGCAAAGGAGTCAGGGAGGGGCTTCTGTGATTTCAAGAAGAGAGGGCCTGAGCTCGGCAGGGTGGTGTGGGCCTGATGTCTCAGATACTCTGGAGAATGAGTCAGGAGGGTTGAAAGTTCGAGACCCACCTGGACTACAGAACATGTTGAAGGCCAGCCTGAGCAGCTTTATAAGGAGACCCCCGCCTCAAAAGAAAAAGTAAGAGGAGGCTGAAGATTTAGCTCAGTGGTGAAACAGTTCTATAATATGCCCATGAGGAGCTGGGGATATGGCCGGGCAGTAGCAGGGAGGGGCAGGGGCGTGACTCAGCAGCTTCAGAACTCTAGCCTGAAATCCGCCAATGAGGGGCGAGAGGCATGGCTCAGTGGTACAGCTTTGCAAGCTTTGCAAGCCTCTGGGTCCAGGCCAAATGAGGTACAAGACACAGATGATGCCATCCCAAGCCAGAGAGAGGACACCACCTAGAGTCTACCACACCTCCATGTTCCTATGGAATAGCCTTGGGGGCCCATGTCCCCTCTCCATGCTTCCTGGGATCCCCTCCTGTCTCTCTCAATTACTTTTCCTTCTTTTAAATCCTCCTTCGCACGAACTCATACACAGACACATAGATACACACACACTCACACAGACACACATAACACGCACACACACCCGTATACACACACAAAGTCATACACAGACACACTCACACATACACAAACATATACACACAGACACACATAACATATACACAGATATATTCACACAGACACACACACCCATACACACACACAGTCATACACAGACACACTCACACATACATAAACATATACACACAGACACACATAACATATACACAGATATACTCACACAGACACACACAGCCATACACACACACAGCCATACACAGACACACACTCATACACACAGACACACATAACATACACAGACACACTCACACACCCATATATACACACACAAAGTCATACACAGACACACTCACACATACACAAACATACACACAGACACACATAACATATACACAGATATACTCACACAGACACACACACCCATATACACAGACACACACTCACACACACAGACACACATAACATATACACAGACATACACACACACAGTCATACACAGACACACACCCACACAGACACACTTAACATATACACAGACATACACACACACAGTCATACACAGACACACACCCACACAGACACACTTAACATATACACAGACATACACACACACTCATACATACACACACACATTTTCCTCCTTCACTGTCCATAACTGATCACAAACCCAAAGTTTGTAGGCCTTCTCTCTGCTCCTCAGTTGCTGAGATGGACTTGGCAATCTGAGTCACTGGGTGTGGCCTCTCTAGTGCCCACCACTTCATTATGATTGGCTACTCTCTAGTGGGCGTGCCTCCAGTGCTTAAATCTGATTGGTTGAATGTCTGTAGTGGGCATTATTCAGCCATATCTTTTACTTCATGCTCTTGTGAGGGTCAAGGAGCCTGCATTAACAGTTAATAGCCCTTTTTGTTACCCCCCCCCCTTTGAGCTGATTAACTCAGTGGCCAGTGTAAGGGTCTCACTCCCGCTGAACATGAGTAGGACAGTGCATCCTGGTGACATCCTGAGATTTATGCCCAGGCTGGACCTTCAGGGCCACACGGGGACTCAGGCCAACAAGACCCTAACTCTCCTAGAGTCCACAGCTCATAGGAAAGAAAAAGGGAAAAAACAAAAATAAATGGGGCTCAGAGGTTAAGAGCAGTGGCTGCTCTTCCAAAGGTCTTGAGTTCAATTCCCAGCCACCACATCTGTAATGATGAGATCTGGCGCCCTCTGCTGGCCTGCAGGCATACATGTAGGCAGAACATACTATATATAATAAACGAATCTTTTTAAAAAATTAAATGAATAAAATTAACTATGAGCCAAATGTGAACCTGAATTTAACAGTGACCCAAATCTGTTTTGAATTTAAAATAGCCTCCCCACCACCCATGCTCACATTTTGAACACGCGGCGCTGTTGTGTGAAGGCTGTGGGGCTTTTAGGAAGTGAGGCCTGGCAGGCAGGAGTAGGCCTTTGAGGCTGTTCCCCAGCTCTGCTTAGAGTTAAACAGTTTCCCCTTCCTGTCAGTGGCCATGGGCACAGTGGCCGGTGCTGGCCCCTCTGTCATTAATTCTGCCAGCTGTATGGCACTGAACAGCTGTTTCCTCCTGGAGGAAAACGGAAGCTCACACTTCTGAGAGCCCCTCCCCAGCAGTTAGAGCTTCGAGGCAAGGACTGCAGGAGGGTGTGAGCACTGAACTTGCCGAACCTGGGTCTCCTCACAGGGTCGTGGAAACTGAACCCACGTCGGGTTGGAGGGGGATCAGCGAGACTGACGTTGAGACAAGTTTATTGCAAGCAATGAGACTTTTTATACACTTTTCAGAAACAGATTATGAGGGCAGTTGGCGGGAAGAATGGAACCGTAGTTGCCAGGATACAATGCCACCTGCCAGTCGTATGGGGTGCACAAGATTGATATCTAAGACTAATTGTTCTGCCAAACTTCCAGAACAGTGCCCCCAGGCCTTCGTAGGCCCAGAGAACTTAGCACAACTGACTCCATGATGGAAGCACTACTCAGGCCGAAAAAGTCAGCATGTAAACAGCACCACCAGCCAAAATGAAACAAAGACCTAAGCCACTCAAGTCCACGGTTCTGGGAAAGCCTCTAAATGTACTCTCGCCTTGCCGTTTGACTTCTGCATTCTGATTCTGAGTAACTCTTCTTTCTAACTGAAGCATGTCAACACAGAATTGTGTTTAAAAATCTCATCTCAAGAAAGGCTCGGCGGCACCCTGGCACCCTGAACATCCATTGTAGTGGCAGACGGGCTAACAAGGACTTTCTATTGGCTTAAACCCATGTAACAAGCAGTCTTCTCTGGTGACAACCCCACAACACTTCCATAGCCTCACTGACTCCTAGGGAGTGCGGAGACACGGAGACACGGAGACACGGGGTGGGGTGGGGGTGGTCTGAATGCTTCACTGCCTGAGGGAGTACCTCTGTCTCTCAGGAAGTGAAAGTCACACAGCAGCGCCTCAGGAGCCTGGACTCTGCCCTGAAAAACCTATAACACAGGCTTCTCAGGGCAGCTAGCTAGACCAGGCCCACTCCATGGCTCCCTGCAGGAGGAGACACAGACTACAGCTACATTTCTTGGGCCGCTGAGCTGTGCAGAGGGCTCCTGGGTTACAGCGCTAGCTGGGCTTTTCCTTGATGGTGCGGCAGCTTTGGACTTATCCCTGCTCCTTGTAAGGAACCCTTCCCCCAGACTCCTGTTAGCAGAGCGTGAAGGGACTCTCGAAGGCCCAAATATGGCAAATGTGGCTCTGGCAGGCCTTGCCCTCCCCAGTTCCCTCTGCCTGAGGGACCAAAAATTAATATTAATAAAAGTTTGAAAACTTGGGACCTAAATCTATACAGAGAAAGGGAACTTCTAATGGAAAAGGAGACTCTTTAATTTAAATCAGGAGTGCCATGGCTGGTGCCTGAGCCCCTGCTCTCAGAGGAGGGGAGGTAACTGTCCCCCACTCCTGCTGACATTCCTTGTTAATTGCTGGTCATAAAGATCTCCTGCCAGCTGTAAAGATCCCCAGGCCCAGGGGACAGCTGACAGACCCTGTGACCCCTGTAACCCTTCAAGCCCATGCCCTGTCTTATCTCACTCAAAAGCATCTTGCTTAAAATATATAGTTACTGCTTTACTCTGTACTTTGTATGACCTTGAGTAACCATGGAAACTGAAATGTGTAGCCTTCAGCCGCATGGTCTGCCCTTTCAAAGCTTCTCCTTTTGGCTGGTGGGCATCTCGTTTCCTCCACCATGGAAAGAGATCCGCCTGGCCAGCTGAACAATAAACGGAACGTTTGCTTTTGCATCAAAGTGTCCACTCCTTGGGTTGGTCTCTGGGTTTCCGCAAACCAGTCACAACATGCCTTGCTAAAAAAACCCTTGGATGACATTCCTAAGCTGGTACCCAAGATCTATTCCTGCATTTGGCTACTTCCTTCCCCTAAGGCTGACTACCAAGGTGCAGCTAGCAAAGTATCAAAGTCCAGCGATCAGAAGCCCCTTGTGGATGCCCCGGTTAACCTGTCCCATCAAAATCAAACAGCTCATCCTAACATGGGGAGGGGGCTTCCCCTTTCACTTTTATAAGCCGCCATTCGCCTATGGGCCACATCTGTTTCCTCTGTATCCAGACACAGTCCTCTGTCCCGTTGGGACAAACACCTCTTCCCCCTCTCTCTCGTTCCCTTCCCCTTCTCCCTTGTCCTCTGTCTCCTGTCTTTGTCCCTTACCCTTTGGCCCTCTGGGGCAATAAATCTCCTCAGTGCTAAGAGGTTGGTCTTGGGGTGTCTTGTGCTGATAAACCGGGTCTCAGCTTTGCTGGGCCGCAGACAGCAGTTGCGAGGCGGCAGGTGTCCATGGAGAGTGGGCGGGGGCAAAGTCAGCGTGCACCCTGTGCTGTGCGATGCATTGACTCGTCTATGTGTGCGGGGTTTGCCTGCTCTCATGTCTGTGCGCCGCAGGCATGCGGTGCCCGTGGGTGCCAAACCAGGGCATGGGACGCCCTGGAACTGAAGTCACACACAATTGTGAGCCACCGTGTGGGTGCTGGGAACTCAGGATCTCTGCCAAAAGCAACAGTGTTCTTACCAAGGTGCCATCCCTCCTGCCCTGGTCTGTCTGTCTTTTCTCTTTTCTTTCTTTCTTTTTTTTGGGGAGGGGGATTTCGGTTTCTTTTTTTTTTTCTTTCTTTCTTTTTTTTTTTTTTTGGTTTTTTCGAGACAGGGTTTCTCTGTGGCTTTGGAGAATGGACCCTTTGGAGAATGGACCCTGGAGGGGATCTACAGCCTGGGAAGCAAGGACCACTGGGGAGGAGGATGTGAGTTGAGGCAGGAAGTGCGAGAGGAAGCCAGCCTTGAAAGGGTCCCAGACAGAGAGACCAGCGCATGCAAATGCCCCGAGATGGGGAGTAATTTGGCAACAATACAAACAAAAATGGTAGCTGCTTCCACACCTGATTCTAGATACGTGAACAGCACTTACCATGGCTCGCATTCACACGTGCACGCCCACTGAAAGCCAGCAATGACTCCTGGGGATCTTCTCCCTTTGAGTCTCTCAACCGCGCGCCCAGCTGGAGGCACGCGCAGCAAGCATGCGCAGTGTCTTTGCCCATGGTCTTGAAGAAAGAGCTAAAGTTGCCAGACACCGTGGTGCAAGCCCTTAATTCCAGCCCCTGGGAGACAGAGGTAGGTGGATCTCTGTGAATTCTAGGCTAGCCTGGTCTTGCACAGTGAGTTCCGGGGCAGTCATGATTATGTGGAAACATTCCTGGGACGACGTCTTGTTTTCAGAAACTGAAGTTCCCTCCTACCTTGAAACCAAGTTAACAACATGCCTCGAAACCATTTAAAACTATGTACTCACCTTGGGGAGATGGCTCAACTGGTAAAAGCTAGACTCACAACCAAAGAGACAAAATTAGTCCATCAAGAACGACTCGGACCCACATGAATAAGGGTCCCGAGTAGCAAGGTGTCGGCGGGGAGGGGGGGTGGAGGGGGGGACGGGGACTGAGGACCAAGGGGGAAATTGGGGATGAGGTTTAATAAAGAAGACTAACGCAAAAGCTAGGACAGCTTTTGAATAAGCTGATGACTTAAACCAAGCAAGTGTATTACAAAATACAGCATCTTGGGCTGGAGAGATAGCTCAGCCATTAAAGGCTAGGCTCACAACCAAAAATATAAGAAATACAGCCCTTTATACAGCCCCAGGTAGTGGAACTGTTTGGGAAGGATCAGGAGGTGTGGCCTTATTGAAGGAGGCGTGTCACTGCAGGTAGCCCTAGAGGTTCCAAAGCCCACACCAGTCTTGCTGGGTCACTCTCTCTTCCCCCTGAAACGTTTGGATCAGACATAAGCTCTCAACTGCTTCCCAACACCATACCTGCCTGCTGCCACGCTCCCTGCCATGATGGTCATGAATGAACCCTTTGAAGGTGTACGCAAGACCCCAGCTAAATGCTTTCTTTTGCAGGTTACCTTGTGTAAGGAAAAGGGACCAGTCAAAGAAACACACCCTGAGCAGAGCCAAAGAAACACACTTTGGCCCTGCAACCACAACCAAAGAAATGTACCCTGACCCTGAAACCAGTGCCAAAGGAGCACACTTTGTCCCTGGAATCAGAGTCAGTGAAAGAAATGTACCCTGGCCCTAAAATTGGAGCCAAAAGGCTAAAAAGGACCAGAGAAAGAAACACACTTTGGCCCTGAAACCAGAGCCAAATCT